TATATATATATATATATATATATATATATATATATAAAGTAGAGGAATCTGCAAGTGCAAATAACAGAGATCCCTATGATACAATCTCTTCTTATAAGCATTTAACGATAAGATAAGGTCTTCGAAAAGGTAATTTTACTAAACCATAGTACGATGTAGAGTTCAACTCTAAACCGTATAGCGGTACCGTAATGTTATAATGATACACAAATTTTAAACGCTAAAGAAGAGGAATCCGTGAGTTGCCCCAAATGGATTTAAAGACAGGGCCCTCTGCTGCTTGTGTATAAAAAAAATAATATATTAATTATTATACATGATTAAGCCACACTTCGATTCATTTGTACCTGGGTTGGTGTGGGCTTTATTACCAAGTTATAAATCCATTGCATCCAACCTGTAGTAGGCAATATTCTTCCAGCCATCACACTGTTATAGGAAATACAATTGCTATGTGCTGAAAAAGAAACACATATAAATTATTATTTGTATTTCAACACATTTCACAGAAGCAACGGTAATACTGTATTTATAATCCACATTAAATTTATAATTATTCTTTTAACAGACTGGCAATCGACATTTCGAAAAACAAATTCATTCAGAAAATGCAAATATGTTTAAGGACAAGTTTACCAATTTTATATAATTTGAGAACTGAGTTAGCAACATATGATATCCCACTTTTGAAATTACGAATCTTGTGCGTTCGTTACGGTTACGCTCTAAACTAAATTTTTGATGACGTGCTAGGTACATCTCTATCTAAGCTTAGCGGAAGACATGGTAATGCATATAATTAGGAAGATTGTAGATCTTTGTATTATTGTGCAATGGTGAGCAAATTTTATGAATAGGCACCTCTACATTTTTAGAAATGGCACTCTCAGACGTCATATTCAATAACTCCTTTTATTTTTTTCATCCTCTGAATGGGGGGTGGGGAGTTGCTGAGGCACACCGAACACCTCCTCCCCCACCCTCAGATACGCCACTGGAATAGCTGTTTTAGATAAGACTACTACACCCATTCCGTAATTAAAAAAAATAAATAAAAACATAAAAAACCTGACATTGCACAAAATAATGAAATTTGTGGAGACCAGGTTCAACCAAAAAGTTAACCAAATCGCTGTAGCAATTAAGCCGGTTGACCCAACACAAAATTCAGCTACACGATAACACAGCCGTCGTGACTCGCGACAGTGGATGAAGGAATTTTGACGGACTAGGCCTACTGCTTAAAATAATCTATGAGGTCACCCTAAGAATACACACCTTTCTCGGTTGAAGTCGAGGTATTTAGCAACTACCCACTGAACTCAAAAAGGTACACTTTTTTCTTTTCTCCTTCCTCCTTTTCTTCTTTCCTGCCTCACTTTTGTTACTCTCCCTTTTTTTTTCTGACGGTGTGGAGCATGTGATAGGTCTCTTATCCACTTGTCTTATGCAAAATAATATTGGGACCATATAGTAATATAAGGTCCTATGGAATGTCAATAGATCTCACCTTTAAATTCTGAGGATCAAGACAAACAATGTTAATAACTCTGGAATTGTTGCATAATTTCGTCAAACACAAACGTACTCGTTCTTCTTCCGATGTCTTATAATCTGTCTCCTATAAACCACCCGATCTGAACTTGTTTTATATGGTCCCTCTATTCTGGCTCTTTCCACATTTACTAGTTGGCACTCAAATCGATTCCGGGGGATAAAGGAATTGATAATTTCCTCTCCGACGAGTTACTGTTTCCATGATTCAAGGTCAAACGTCCAATGCTCGCAATAATCCCATTACTAATGTTTCTGATCCTCTTTAAATTTTTATTCTAAATTAATGGACCCACGAATTTACTTAAACCCTTAAGTACATGTCTCTTTACTCGAAACACTTAATATTGCCGGCCATGAATTCCTGATTTGTTAATCAATAAGAATTCTCCGGTACTTTTTAATTTAATTTAATTCTCTTTTCTTCTCTTCAAATACAATCCGGCGGTGCTATACGTAGCATTGGGACCCACAATATCTAAGCCTGATTTTTCCTATGGTTTATCAGGTAGTGCAATTGTTGCATTAGGTATGCTTTGAGGTAGCTGACCCATCATTACTTTGACATGTAACGCAATTATTTACCATTTCTTAGAATTGATAACCATCTTAAGCCACCAATATTTTTGTATTACCCTTTGCTTAGTACGTACGATCAGTGATGTGATGCATGGACATAAAACGTGTGTTTACTTTCGCAGGAAGACCTATTTTTATAGCCTCCCCAAAATGCTTCACATGTCAATTCATACCGTATTTTACACTATTTTATAGGGTTTAACCATTTTATTTATCATTTTTATCCTTCGGTCAACAATCCTGCACGTACATTTTCTCGACATACTGTATCGTCCAAAACAATCATGTTCGGAATGTTCGATTGTTCGTTAAAAGGTAATTGTAACTTCCGCCCCAACACGTAGCCAGTAGAATCTCACGTAGCCACAATATTCCGGGTCAAAACAAGTTTTGAAATTGCTTTAGAAAGCATTGGAATATTTGTAGAAGGCTTCTAGCCTCAGCTACTATAAACTAGCTATAGAAAGTATTGAAATAGCTATAGCCACAATATTGGTTAAAATCAATAGAAAGCATTAATAGCACTTTTACCAGCCTGAAATTGCTAGCATAAAAAAAAGCATTGGTTTAGCTTTAGAAAGCATTTGAAGAGATACAGTAGACTGCTAGCATAAACCATAGAGAAATAGAACATAGAGATGTTCTATTTTCTCCATGTATAAACCATCTTTAGGAAGCCTTGAAATAGATATAGAATGCTGCCAGCATAAGCTAGCATAAAATAGCTATAGAAAGCACTGAAATGGCTACTGTATAAAGCATTGAAATAGCTATAGACCAGCCTCAAATAGCTGCTAGCATAAAATAAAACATTGATAGAAGACTGTTAGCATAAGCTTAAAAAAATCCAAAACTGGGCTTTTCAAGACAATTTGTTTTAATATATTAATATTTCATAATAGCCTGTTAGACCATATATTTTATACCTCCATGGTTAGACATACGAATGAACGTGCTTGTTCTTTACTGTCAACAGCGGATAACAATTTTGGTGTTCGTGTATTCCGTTAGCATCAGTGAAGTGCCCAATTAGATTTATAGATTGTTTCTAAAAATAACGTTAATTTTAATGTTTAGGAGTGTACCAGTTTGAGTTTTCGGTTAAGCGATTCATCATGTTCCTGTTAACATCATCAATGATGCTAATTCAAAACACAAGATATTCCTAAATTTGTTATTATGTGACACAAACCTAGTCGTTGAGTCCCCAATACTTTCGTGTGGGCTGACTTTTAGTCTAATATAAAGAAATATTTTGCAATTCCCTGGATTCTAGGAATTCATCAATTTTTGGAATTAGATATACTTTTTACTATTGACTCACTTACCCTTCCTTGATTTGTTTAAGTGCAACCTTTATACATCCTTGGTGTAACCATGTTTGAAGATTCGTTTCCTAAACCACATAGATTTCCTTCTTGCATATTGACCTTGATTCCTGTTTGTTTATTTCATGGAGATTTTTAATATTTAGGCCTATGTATATATTTTATCGGGTCGCGGCTCTCATTCCAGTTTTAACTTTATTTTCGTGTTGATCAGATATTCCCCTATAGGCAAGCTGTTTCCCGCCCCCCACCCCACCCAAAAAATCATATGGCTGCTTGTTAATCAATTTGAAATGATTATTCAAAGACGCTTTTTTTTCACGGAAATGCGAATATGACACACTGTCACTCTAAATTAGCAGATTTATTCTTAATTTATTCTCGACTGTAGTTTAGACTTAATCCATTACCAGTCGGTAAGGTTTTGCGTACGCTAAAAACAATGGTGAGACCGAGCGCACGAAGTTTTACAACCACCATGAAATAAGCAAACATAGAATTAAGGTCAATATGATAGAAGAAAAAAGACTAGTTGTTCTTTCCCGTGAGATGCGTCTTTTAGTTTCAATTCAGGAAACGATGCGTACACAAAGACAGGAACAACTGTAGGCCTAGTTACCGACAACAACCTCAATGAGGCAGACACATATCATGACAATTTCATACAGTATCATGTATGTGAAATAGCTCAATATTAGCACCATATGGAAACCCTGAAAAATATCTTGGCGACCCTTATTTGGGTCCTGACCCAAATTTGAATACTTTTTCAGGGGTGTATAAACCATACTCCGTGGTTATACAACTATCAATTCAAAGAGTATAACGAAAAGAGCAAGGGCGACAGAACACACCCCTGTGGTTCCCCCGTGTTACAAGTCACAACGACTCAGTACACTACCCCTAAATTGAACAAGTCCTGTTTTAATTTTAAAAGTATTAATTGTATATTATTGTATAAATATCTAAGGGTAAATGGAATAGTTCAATAAAGTTACAAAATAAAATAAAGTTCAATAACTACATAGTGATTTGGTTCACTTTTAGGAATGCTGCCTCAGCCTGTTTTTGATATGTATGCCTATAATGTTGTACCATGGACCTATTATCAGTAGCGTAGCAAAATATTTTTCATTGGGGGGGGGTGTGATTGGCGTGTTAGCCAGTGCCGTAACAGGCGTGGGGGCAGGGGGAAAACTGCCCCTCCCCTGACGGTTTTTATCGGGCTGACCAAGCCGTCGTACCGGGCTGGGTAATAAGAGAAAAGAAAGAGGGGAAAGGGAGGGAAAGAGAAAGAAGAGGAAAAGAAAAGGATAGAAAAAGAGAAGAGAAAAATAAAGACAAGAATAAAAAGGAAGATATCATAATGACCAGACTCACAACACCCTGCAACACTTTCTCCACTTCAAAAACTGTCATAACTCTTTTGATCTATGCTGCCCGATGGCGTAACCACTGGGGGACAAGGGGTAAATATCTATCTTTGAAAAATCTTCCCAACCCCTTTATAAATGCCCTTTCATCCCCTGAAAGTGCCTAAAAACCTCAAATTTCGCGCGCATTTCTTGTTAACATGGCCCAATTTCCTCTAAAAATTGCACATTTTAGGGACTTTTGATCAATTCCACTCTTTTACACATCTAGATGCGTATAAGAGACGGGGACAAGGGGAAAATATCCATCTTTGGAAAATCTTTCTCCACCCCTTGACAAATGCATCCTCTGAAAGTGCCTAAAATTCTCAAATTCTTTGCGTGCATTTCTTGTTACGGTAGGCCAATTTCCTAACTACGATGCTGTAAAGACGTGTATTCCTTGTTGCTCCTAAAATTTCTTACACAAACCATCAATTTTATTGGTGCCCCGGTCAACGGAAACTACTTCATTGCCGTATGCACATATTATATACCAAAACGAAAAATCGCCCACTGAAAATGGAAAAATCTAAAGCTGAAAAAGAAAAAATCACCTATCACCTGAGGTCCACAGCTCCTAACCAAAATAGCAAAGAGTCAGAGCGGGAAAAATCAAAATCAGGGTGTGA